TTACTCTCGCAGTATCCCTGTTACTCTCGCAATATCCCTGTTACTCTCGCAATATCCCTGTTACTCTCACAGTATCCCTGTTACTCTCGCAGTATCCCTGTTACTCTCACAGTATCCCTGTTACTCTCACAGTATCCCTGTTACTCTCACAGTATCCCTGTTACTCTCGAAGTATCCCTGTTACTCTCACAGTATCCCTGTTACTCTCACAGTATCCCTGTTACTCTCACAGTATCCCTGTTACTCTCACAGTATGCCTGTTACTCTCACAGTATCCCTGTTACTCTCACAGTATCCCTGTTACTCTCACAGTATTCCTGTTACTCTCACAGTATCCCTGTTACTCTCACAGTATCCCTGTTACTCTCACAGTATCCCTGTTACTCTCACAGTATGCCTGTTACTCTCACAGTATCCCTGTTACTCTCACAGTATCCCTGTTACTCTCACAGTATCCCTGTTACTCTCACAGTATCCCTGTTACTCTCACAGTATCCCTGTTACTCTCACAGTATCCCTGTTACTCTCACAGTATCCCTGTTACTCTCGCAGTACGTCCCTCCTGCCACTCACAACATAATCAAACATTTAAAGCTAATTTTCTCCTCAGTAGATCTGCTGAAGAGAACTTCATTTGGAGGTCGAAATATGTAAACTTACTTTTAATTATTTTTTTGGGTCTCAAGGAGCTCTCACTCTCTCTCTCTCTCTCTCTCTCTCTCTCTCTCTCTCTCTCTGTCTCTCTCTCTCTCTCTCTCTCTCTCTCTCTCTCTCTCTCTCTCTCTCTCTCTCTCTCTCTTTCTCTCTGTCACTGCTTCAGGGAACTCTCTCTCTGACTGTCTCAAAGTAGACACTTTCCCTCACTGGTGAAAGTGAAGGTGAAAGTGAGGGATACTGACCTTGACAGCCACCGGCATCTCTACAGAGTCGCCAGCATAGTTCTTGAGGTATCCCTGGTATACCTCACCGAAGGCGCCTTGACCCAACGCTCTGCAGGAAGAAGAACAAGACAACTATGATAAAGCAAGGAAGAGAAAGACAATCAGAGTAAAACAGGGAAGACACTCACGGTAACTTCCTGTCTTCAGGTGAGAGACTAGGAATATTTAGAGAGATGTTCCCCTCCCCCAGAATGGAAGTCTCAAAATTAGAGGAAATACTTAAAGATTTATCTCGAGGGGGACTTAAAAAGAGGGAGCACATTCACCATCACTCATCCAATACCACACACACACACACACACACACACACACACACACACACACACACAACACACACACACACACACATACACAATGTATTAGAGGCCTGTTGCACAGGAGTTTTAAAAGGAATGTGCTGTAGTAAGAGGGAGTGAGAAGCAGTAAGAGGCAGTAAGAGGCAGTGAGGGGCAGTAAGAGGTAGTAAGAGGCAGTATGAGGCAGTGAGGGGCAGTAAGAGGCAGGTAGAGGCAGTAAGAGGCAGTGAGATGCAGTGAGAAGCAGGGAGAGGCAGTGAGAGACAGTGAGAAGCAGTAGAGGCAGTGAGAGGCAGTGAGAGGCAGTGCGAGGCAGGGAGAGGCAGTGAGAGATAGTGAGAGGCAGTGAGAGACAGTGAGAGGCAGTGAGAGGCAGTGCGAGGCAAGGAGAGGCAGTGAGAGATAGTGAGAGGCAGTGAGAGACAGTGAGAGGCAGTGAGAGGCAGTGTGTAGGAGTGACAGCAACAGTGATTACAGTGGTGAGGAACTTTGAGTCTGGTGAACATTTTTTGGCGAGGCAGCGATAAGAAGATAAAAATGTTTAGAGAAAACTTGGAGAAGAAGAAGGAGGAGAAGAAGAAGGAGGAGAAGAAGAAGGAGGAGAAGGAGGAGAAGAAGTAAGCAGAGAGAAAGAAAAACAAGATGAATTAAACATGATGAGAGAACCAGGAAAGAATGAACGATGCTAAACAAGAAGAGAGGATAAAACAAGAATAGGAGAAGAAACAGCAAGAATACTGCATATAAGAGATGGTAAAAGGGGAAGAAGTGGACAAAAAAAAAAAAAATATTTCCATCAAATCCTTATCAATTTCAGACACTCCTGATGCCTTCTTCAGAAAATTTAAATGACTTTCTGGAATCCTTGAAGGAGTTTGTCATGGAAGCCTCACCAGGCAGGGTTTCACACCACCTACAAGAACTGAAATAAATCATGATGCAGCTTCCAGGAGGTTACCAGACATGTCTTCCAGCACAAAAGTCTTCCAGCACAAAGTCTTCCAGCACACAAGTCTTTCAGCACACAAGTCTTCCAGCACACAAGTCTTCCAGCACACAAGTCTTCCAGCACACAAGTCTTCCAGCACACAAGTCTTCCAGCACACAAGTCTTTCAGCACACAAGTCTTCCAGCACACAAGTCTTCCAGCACACAAGTCTTCCAGCACACAAGTCTTCCAGCACACAAGTCTTCCAGCACACAAGTCTTCCAGCACACAAGTCTTCCAGCACACAAGTCTTCCAGCACACAAGTCTTCCAGCACACAAGTCTTCCAGCACACAAGTCTTCCAGCACACAAGTCTACCAGCACACATGTCTTGTAGAAGTTCTACAGACATGTCTTCCAGCACATAAATCTTGTAGCACACAAATCTTGCAGCACACAAGTTTTCCAGCACACAAGTCTTCCAGCACACAAGTCTTCCAGCATATAGGACTTCCAGCACATAAATCGCGTAGTACACAAGTCTTCCAGCACACGAGTCTTACAGCACCAGTTTGGAACCCACACCTAGCCAAGCACGTAAAGAAACTAGTGAAAGTGCAAAGGTTTGCAACAAGACTAGTCCCAGAGATAAGGGGTATGTCCTACGAGGAGAGGTTAAGGGAAATCGACCTGACGACACTGGAGGACAGGAGAGATAGGGGGGACATGATAACGACATACAAAATACTGAGAGGAATTGACAAGGTGGACAAAGACAGGATGTTCCAGAGATGGGACACAGCAACAACGAGACACAGTTGGAAGTTGAAGACACAGATGAATCACAGGGATGTTAGGAAGTATTTCTTCAGCCACAGAGTAGTCAGGAAGTGGAATAGTTTGGGAAGCGATGTAGTGGAGGCAGGATCCATACATAGCTTTAAGCAGAGGTATGATAAAGCTCACTGTTCAGGAAGAGTGACCTAGTAGCGATCCGTGAAGAGGCGGGGCTAGGAGCTGGGACTCGACCCCTGCAACCTCAACTAGGTGAGTACATCTTCTAACAGCTTTCCAGACAAATCTTCCAGGGACACCTGACGAAGTTTCCATGGAAATAAATGTATATATTTTTAGAGGCTTCACTCCACGAGCTTTCCAGAAGCACCATAGGCTTCCAAGGGCATTCAGACTGCATTCTAATGACCACAGGAGCTCTTTCCAGTTCACCCAAGAAGCCATTCAAGGGATCTGAAAATCCATCAGGGATAATACAACCAGCCAAGAAGCCATCCCAGGAATCTGACAAGCCATCATGGACAATATACCTATCCAAGAAGCCATTCCAGGGATCTAACAAGCCATCAGGAACTCTATACTCAACCAAAAAGCCATTCCAGACATGTGACAAGCCATTATGGACAATATACCTAGCCAAGATGCCATTCCAGGGACCTATGGACACCATTTTCGCCCAAAGTGCTTTTCAGACATGACAAAAAGATTTTCAAAAGAATAAAAAGGGCTTTCCAAAGACATGCAAAGAGCCTCTTCAATACAGGGAAACCCCATGTACTTTCCAGGGATGCCGGAAACCTCTTCATGGCACTCAATAGGCCTAGACACACATAATTTCCCCCCAGGGATACCAAACTGTTAAGAAGCGTTTCTAAAGCAAATTTTAAGAAGTATCCGGAGAAGGATACCGAGGAGGTTTCCAGAAGTCAAAAGGAAACCTACTGGAGGCAGAGTTTATTTTTAAATGCAGTCCATAGAACGCTTCAGAGGGATACCACATCACAGAACCTTCCAGAGGGATGCAACACCATTTAACCCTCCAGAGGGATACCACATCATAGAACCCTCCTGTGAGATACCACATCATAGACCTCTCAAGAGGGATACCACGCCAAAGAACCCTCCTGTGGAATACCACACCAAAGAACATACCAGAGGGATACCACACCATTGAACCTACCTGAGGGATACCACAGAACCCTCCTGAAAGATATCACACCATAGAACCTTCCAGAAGGATACTACACCATAGAACCTTCCAGAAGGATACTACACCATAGAACCTTCCAGAGAGATACTACACCACTGAACGTACCTGAGGGTTACCATAGAATCCTCTTGTGGTATACCACACTATAGAACCCTCCTGTGGGATACCACACAAAATGGAACTTTCCAGAGGGATACCGCACCATAGAACCTTCCAGAGGGATACCACACCATAGAACCTACTTGAGGGATACCATAGAATCCTCCTGTGGTATACCACGCCATAGAACCCTCCTGTGGAATACCACACCATAGAACCCTTCTGTAGGATTCCACACCAAAGAACCTACCAGAGAGACACCACAAGATTGAACCCACCCTAGGAATACCATAGAACCTTCCTGAAGGATACCACACCATAGAACCTTCCAGAGGGCTACCACACCATAGAACCTTCCAAAGGGATACCATACCATTGAATCTTCCTGAGGGATACTAAGAATCTTCCTGTGGGATACAACACCATAGAACCTTCCAGAGGGATACCACAACAAAGAACCCTCCAGAGGGATACCACAATATAGAATTTTACTGGGGGTACCACACCATTGAACCCCCTGAGGGATACCACATTATAGAACCCACCACAGGATACCACACCATAGGGATAGCAATACTTCAGAGCAGAGTGAATGAAGAACACGAAAGAGAGAGAGAGAGAGAGAGAGAGAGAGAGAGAGAGAGAGAGAGAGAGAGAGAGAGAGAGAGAGAGAGAGAGAGAGAGAGAGAGAGAGAGAGAGAGAGAGAGGAGAGAGAGCAGCAGCCGATCAAGCAAGAGTTGCCATAGCAACCCCAAAGGAAAACGCAAAAGTGTGGTAGTGCCATTGGCACTTGTGGCACTATACCCTCTCTCCTTCCCCTCGCACCCCCTTTGTAGTGCCAACGGTCTCCCCTTGGCTCCTTCACCGTCGTGCATTATTGCAGTGCCAGCCATCTCTCCCACCCTTGTTACATTGCCATATTTATTATTCCTGGCACCTGTGCCAGGGTATCAATGACACATGTGCCATGGGTATCCGTGGTACTTGTGCCGTGGGTATCTTTGGTACCTGTGCCATGGGTATCCCTGGCACCTGTGCCATGGGTATCCCTGTCACCTGTGCCCTGGCTATCCCTGGCACCTGTGTCGTGGATATCCCTGGCGTCTGTGCGTGGGTGTCTCTGGTACCGTGCCATGGGTATCCCTGGTACCTGTGATCTGGGTATCCCTGGTACATCTGGCATGGGAATCCTTGGCTCTGTGTCATGGGTATCCCTGGCACCTACGCTCTGGGTATCCCTCTCTCATCTCCCATGTAGTGCCCAAGTTGCTTGGCTAATGGGGTTTAAAGTCTATCTACTACACCTGTACACCACCAGTCAAGAATACTACAATACCTAGAACGTAATGTAAACTACCAGTGTATATATACTGAGAGATATACACCTCTCAGCGTATATATACTGACACAACACACACACACACACACACACACACACACACACACACACACACACACACACACCAAAGACTGCAAACCTCACTCAAGGAGAAAGATCTTGGGGTGAGTATAACACCGAGCATGTCTCCGGAAGCACACATCAATCAGATAACTGCTGCAGCATATGGGCGCCTGGCAAACCTGAGAACAGCATTCCGATACCTTAGTAAGGAATCATTCAAGACACTGTACACCGTGTATGTCAGGCCCATACTGGAGTATGCAGCACCTGTTTGGAACCCGCACTTGATAAAGCACGTCAAGAAACTAGAGAAAGTAC